CATTGTCAGCTGGTGGTGTGGAGCAGTGCCAGTGGCACCTTCTCCTCTCACGTCCGCTGCAGCATTTCACCTTGTCAGCCAACACCTTCACTGCTTCAGCGAGAATGGTACCGTAGGAGTACAGTTCTGGTCGAATGGCGCGCATCGAGTCAGAATAAAGTTCAAAATACCGGCACTTCAGCTCATCATTCCAGTTTCGACACGTCCATGTTTGCCGTCGTTCGTTTCGGATGTCCTGTCGTCAACGTTCTCGTTAGTCCGTAACGCGTTACCGTTCTGTTATCGCCGTCGTGTATCCTGTGCTGCCCAAGACAACGTCTCGTTCCAGTGCCCGCAGGAATAAGCATCGTTTGCACCGTTGGAGCAAGGTTGCCGACTGGTCTCCGCCGACTCTTCGCCATCGAGTCATTCACGTTCACGATTGTACTGAAGGAATCGGGAAAAAATGAAGTCGCGAACAGTCACTACTATGATCATGATGATGGTCGTTCTACTCGTCGTGCCACTTCTAGACGGTAAGCTTGGACCAAAAATATATCATTAAACAGCAAGTAACCGACTCGGAACATTTGTACGTGTTCTCTTTGCTATCATGTAGACCAACACAGACTCAGTCTACAGGTGCACCGGTGGACATGTAGAGGCGACGGTTCGATACCGGAACGGTTTGACAGCCAAATTTGTATAGACCCAAACCGATGATCAGCGTGGATTGTTCACTCGAAATATGTTTTTGGAAGGAAACTGGCATGTTGAAGTTTGCTATGAGGCCAGAGTCAATCGAACTGAGCCACTCCTTTGTGTTGGCCTATTGCCTCCAAGTTGCCTAATTTTTCGCTTCAAATCAGGGGTGGCTCCAAACCGGAAAGGTTATAGAGTGCACGTCAAATTCGCTCTGAGTTCTGAAATTAGGTAATTGCTATCGCTCCACAACGGCCAGTACAGAGTAGCAATAAGCCTTATGTGTGCTTCCATTAGTTTTCTTTGGTATAAGGTGCTTTATTGGCGAGAGGCGAGCCGCTGTTTACCTGCGACAAGAAGTTGATTTTCAAAAGACGTAAAACTCAAGTCGCAGTGCGAATCAACACGTCAAAAACTCACCTGCTTGGTGTGGCGCGTCTGGTCACCGCAGAGTCATATGAAATTTTCACTTGGAGTAAAACACATCGTAGTCTCACTGTGACATATGTTTTCTAATCAAAATACCAAGAGAGAAAGTGAATATTGAGTCCGTTCCGGTTTGCAACCTATTTCCTATTTGAAACCGTCTCCTCTACAATCATGTAGTCGTACTATTTTTTGTAGTTCCCCTCTCGCCCTGCGTCTGACACAGCCAGGAGTCACACACTCACCACATAAAGAAAATAAATATGCTGTGTGACCCCTGCCCCGCACCCCTTGCCTTTCTACCTTCCCGCAAGCATCCTGTACATACTGTACTGTGGTAACCTGAATATCAGCTATGCGTGTCTACAGTGTGCATATCAGAAAGTCTTAGTTTTTGAATTATTTTTGAATGAGTCAGGGATACCGAATACTATTATAGGGACAACATTTTTTGACAAACCAATACTCAACTTTGATTGGAATGGCAATGAAGTTTGTGTACACTACACAAGCGAATTACCTCTTACCGTATTTCCACAAATGGTAGGCCGGTCTACTATTTTTTCAACCTCGTCCTAACCCGGCCTTATAATCGAGGACGGTCTTGTATTCGAGGACGGTCTTTTATTCTTTCAACCCAGTTTGATCCCGGTCTTCTATTTCTCGCCACACAGTTTTACCCCCGTTCTTCCATTTTCTTCTACACAGTTTGAGCACGGTCTTCTATTTTTTTCCACAGTTTGAGCACGGTCGTCCATTTTTAACACAAGAACAAAGGACGGTCTTTTATTTTTTCAATCGCCCCCTGCCCCGGCCTTGTAAACGAAGAATGAAATCCCCTTTCTTCTCAGCATACTCCCTTTGGTCTAACCTGCCTACTAGCATTAAGACATGCCAGGATATCAGGAAATTCAAAGTCCAGCTTTCCACACTGTCTCATCCGAAGTGATCCCATGTATTACTAATGTGCCTCCCTTTCTTTTTCTCTCCCTATCTCCTTTCCCTCTCTGACAGCATCTTTCTTTTTCTCCCTTTTAGCTTGCCGTGGTTGGCTATCACCTGACCTCTCATGTTTATTGGCAGTCTTCGGACGGGCCAGGAGATGTTAAATAAATAAATAAGGCGTTGTATACGAGGACGGCCTTTTATTTGCGGAAATACGGTATCCGGATTTGCATTTACGACTATTTACATGTTCAATCAGGGGGATTTTGTATCGTTGCCAATGAGGTTTGTCTGGTAACTGCACACTAGCAAGGGTAGACCTGTATTTTCAATCTAGTACATGAACTTCAATTTTACACCATAGCATTACCGTAACTTCAAACAACAGTGATAAACATGTTTCCCTAAGTGCGTGTATTTTGTCTATGCTGTGCATCATCTGCCTGTTATCCAAACGTGTGACTGGTCTACAACACCATTACGGATTGCGTACAGTTGAAGGGGAAGTTACACCTAGTAAGTATATTATTTTACATTATCTTTACTTCAACCATGTTTGAAGTAGACAGTACAGCCTTGGCCACAGCTTCATGCAGAACAGGAATCAGATAATGTTGCCCCTGGGATTGTCTGTGAATGGCTTGTGGAGACCGTGGGAGCTTGCACGGCCTACCAAAAGAACAAATTACCTGTGATTTACTTCTTCTGTGTTGATCAGTGTATTCTAAAATAATGTGCTGTTTTAGAAGCTTGGTGGACAAAATTTCGTATAGTTGAATATCTGAATATTGAATGTTTCAAGGTACTGAGAAATTTAACTACAGACACCAATTCTGAACCCATACTCGGTGAACGCATACACGTATTTTCTCCGTATACAAAAACTTCATGACTTTTTTTAAGGCTGAGCACAGCTCTGGAATTATTCCGTTTGACTTGGAATAACACTCGTGGCTTTGTCAACCTGTTGACAAGCTATATTCAAAGAAAAAAGCAAGTCAGACGAATGAGAAGAGTTTATTCAGAGTCTTCGTCGCTCGTGTCATTGTCAGCTGACAATGCTGACTCCGCATCGCCAACAGTCGCTGCTTCCGCTCGCATTTCGTTCGGATTCTTTTCAGCTGCAGTGATGATCCAACACGGGACTTGGCTACGTCCTCTTCATTTCCAGAGCTGTGTACGAATTGGTGTAGACTCTGTTCAGTCGTTCCAACCCGCGACCTTCATTATGCCGTGAAACGAGTCGCTCAAGCACATCCACAAGCTTCGCCTTTTCTCGGCAGGATTATCCTCCCAGCATTCTACAACGGCTTTGAGGAGGTCCCTGCGATTCCCCTTGGTGACGTAGGAGACGTCTGACTGTAGAGAGACGAAGAAAGCCAGGTCGTCGACATTCCGATCCGGAGTCTGCGCTGGTTCCACGACGACTGAAATGTTCGTCTTGCCGTGCTAGCGGAACCGATTTATGTTCTCACGCTGAGTATGGGGACGCGGACCATAAGTACGAGCCTGGCCAGCTTCAGGGTAGCGAGTGCCGGTGGACTCCGTGTTCCAGCCGCGAGCTCCACTTCGTCACTGTGTCAGTTTCGAGCAAGTAAGTGGTTTTTTTTTCATTTGACTCGTGAGTTCCTGTTGGCAACGTCCTCACACGCATGGCTTCCGTCAGAATCTGTTCGGGATCAACCAAACTACTTATAGCTTACCTCAACATGAATGTGGGTTGTCGATGACAGCCTTTGGCGCAGTTCGTTGAGCAGGTTCTTGCTCAAAAACACCGTTGAAAAAGTCACGACGTTTTTTGTATACGGAGGAAGTACATGTACCGTATTTCCACAAATAGTAGGCCGGTCTACTATTTTTTCAACCTCGTCCTAACCCGGCCTTATAATCGAGGACGGTCTTGTATTCAAGGACGGTCTTTTATTCTTTCAACCCAGTTTGACCCCGGTCTTCTATTTTTCGCCACACAGTTTTACCCCCATTCTTCCATTTTCTTCTACACAGTTTGAGCACGGTCTTCTACTTTTACCCACAGTTTGAGCACGGTCTTCTATTTTTAACACAAATTTGAGACTCATTTAGTAGGCCCGGTCTTCTAATCGGAGACGGTCTTTTATTTTTTCAACCGCCCCCTGCCCCGGCCTTGTAAACGAGGAAGGCGTTGTATACGAGGACGGCCGTTTATTTGCGGAAATATAAGTCGATGTTGAATATCCACTTCTGTCACCCAACATTTCCCCGCTCACTGCCGGGTGTTTCTGTTCATTTTCTGTATAGATGTCCTTACTACAACTCCCCCAACCTCTACAATTGTGTCAGCCACATCGCAGCCTCATCCAATGACACCCACGTCGCAGCCCCATCCACCAACAACACCAGCCACAGCAACTCCGGCACGAACACAAACCACAGGACCAGAGGATGTGGTGTCGCCTTCAGGCTCAACCAGCATGAGTGAGTTTGTTTTGGTGAAACAATAACGTCTTTTGATTTTGGGATCTGGTACGTGTATAGTGTGATGTTTCCAGACCCGCTCACAAGTGTATACTCGCCATAGGACTCTCCTTGCACGGATGTGTGAAGTGTGGATTGTATTAGGGTAGCTAAAAGAGAGAGAGAGATACGGGCTGAACTTGCTAGTATAATTCCATTTATTTTGAACTGATTTCATGTATTTTCTCCTGATTCTTCACCGTGCAGAAGAGGATTCAACTTCAACGTCCCTCATAAGGGCTACTTTTGCAGTCTCTCTTGCTCATCTACTGCTGGCTATTCTTTATGAACTTGTCAGGAATTGTACATGGATTCGGACAATATTTTGTAGGTATGTGTGCATGAATTCCGTAGTGACAGTCGTGATGGACTTGATTTTGTTGGTCAAGCCATATCCAAACCAACCTTCATGCATCTAGCATTTCAGTACAAAGTGGGGTCGGTGCCCTTTTTCTACACACACATACACACACATGCACACACACACACAGTCATACATGCACACACACACATGCCTTGACCTTGACCTTCATACACGTTGCCTTGATAGGTTACGCGGTCCGCCAGGGTAGAGGGGTGGAAGAGGCTGAGGAGCAGCACTCCTGATGGCGTACTAGATGGTGACGTAGTCGGAACTTCCTTTTGCAAGGGCACTCGACCGGGAAGTCGGCCCTTTCCGACACTGTCCTTCGTTTCGTGCGGTCGCACTTGTGTCTGGCCAAGCCGCTGACGCACACACACAGAAACACACACACATATGCACATGCATGCACTGTGACATATGCATAGTATGTATACAGCCCTGTTCATGGTACGACCTGTGCTATTCATATAGGGAAAACCTAATTGTACTTATGCAATTACTCTATTTCTTGTTTGCAAGAAATAATTGCTAGAGAAAGAACTGGACATTTTTCGATTTTGGTGCACGGCTCTTCAGTGCACCATGGTGTACTAGAAGCAGACTCTTGGGCTGCTGAAACTCATTTTGCTAAATCTGTGCTTCTTAAATTTCCCTCTCCAGGGTGTTCGACAGGGAAAGCGTAGTGAATGCCGCAGATCTTCAACTTGATGACTGAAGGGGACGTTCTTTGGTGGCTGTCAAACATGCTTAGCGCATTTCATCTTGCTCAGCTGGTGAGTAAACACTTCGGCATCGGACACAAGCGCACTCGTTTGCGCTACTTTGCAGGGGACTGCTTGCATATTATATTTCACCGTCCAATGGCAAAAGCCAATACAAAGGAGGGAGCGTTAGTCAACCATGCCAAAAGAAAGAGAATTTCTTAGTGGGAGCAGAACCCTCCCACCCACCCGCATTCGTTGGAAAGTTCAGGAATGACGTTGTTGTACTTCTCACTTGCGTGTGATTCTTTTTTTGCATTGGTTCTTTTTCATTCGGCTATGCTGTCCTGAATAGGCTCTCAGCGTCAGTGAGGGGTAGGGAAATGTTGGGGTTATCCGCAGGGGACTTGTTTGGAAATGTCGCTGTTGCTGATGTTTGTATGCTTGTGGTTCTCTTATGGGAAAGCTGGTGTGCCTGTTCACCGTAAGGGTTTTCTGTGCACATTTGGCTCTTTGCGCCACTTATTTATGGTTCAAATGGTGAAATACGGGAATTAAGGATTCGAGTTCAGTGCAAAAACATGAAAATAGAGAGGTAAAGATAGCTATATAATTATGATGATAATCACAATAATTATTGGTTAGCCTGAGGGTCGTAGGCCCGGGCCGAGGGCTAACCTGAAGGAATCAAACAAGCCATAAGGCCCTCCCTGCCATGCACTAACTATTTTAGAACATGATTACATGCATTATCTCACTTTCATGATGCTTGTGTACCCTTATACACTGTATTGGGTAGTTCTGTGGTTTGTGTGCAGAATGAATTCGTGTGGTATGATAGAATGTTTTCTTCTCGTAACTTCACCACTGAGGTCTCTTCTCGTAACTTCACCACTGAGGACTCTTCTCGTAACTTCACCACTGAGGACTCTTCTCGTAACTTCACCACTGAGGACTACCAAAAGTAGAATAGAAGCAAATGAAATGCTGGGCTCTTATTGCGAGCTTCACTCTTATTCATAGCTTTGGAGCTATTTAGGGGCTTCGAGAGCCCCTTTTCGATACCTAGGTACATATGTGGTCTTTGATCTTCGGTTTTTATAGGGTTCCGCCAGCTGTCGATAAAGGAAAATCGTACAGAGTGAAAGAGTACGGGAGGCAAAACCGTACACAGTTCTGAAATGCGTAGCTTTTAGTAGTACACCGTACATTTTATGCAGTGTTCATTGTCTGCACTGTACTATTTATGCGTACAGGAAGTTGTATGAACGTAGAGTATACTGTAAACCGCCCAATATTCGTGTCAATAATTTTTTTCGCGATTTCTTAGAACCAGCGAGTTTGTGATGGCAAAAGTTTGCGAAGCGCTGGGGCCACCTACATACACCCACTGTGTAAGTTTGATTTCACGCTGGTTAATATTCGCGATACGCTCTTCTCGCGAAAATAGCGAACATTAATCCGCCGCGAATATTAGGCATGTTACAGTATTCAGCAGGGTTAGTCCAGGCTTCCCAAGTCATCACGGGCAGCCAGGTTGACGAGATCCATCCACCAGCACGATAGAGAGTGGCAGCATCATTCCTGCGACTTTGTGGATCAGCTAGCCCGATGTGAGAGAGCACCTGCTGCCAAGTCCTCCAAGAAAGCTAGTAGTGCTGCCTCTTTCGCTGCTCTCCGAGACGCTGCGGACCGCCTCTTGGCCCGTCGTATGGATGAGCTGTCCAGCAAAGGCCCCTCTTCCTGGTTCACTGCTCTTCCTCTCAAGGAACATGGTTTCCACCTCTCGAAGCAGGAATTCCGGGACGGCCTTGCATTGCGGTATGACTGGCCTCTCCTCGATATCCCAACGTGCCTGCGGAGTTCTGTTCTCCACTGCTCATGCCATGTGTTGCCCTCAGGGTGGCTTCCCTACAATCCGCCATAACAAAGTCCGTGACATGGTAGGGGAGCTACTCACGGAGGTCTGCCACGCAGGGGCAATCGAGCCTCAGCTAGCCCCACTCTCTGGAGAGGTGTTTACTGCTGCATCGGCAAACACCGCTGAGGACGCCCGCGCTGATGTCCGTGTCCGTGGCTTCTGGACCCGAGCACAGGATGCTTTCTTTGACGTTCGCGTCTTCCATCCTGATGCGGTGTCCTACTCGGCCCAACCACTGGATGCCCTACTGCTTCAGCACGAGTGCCAGAAGAAGCTGCAGTACGGAGAGCGAATCCTCAATGTGAATCAAGGCACATTCAGCCCGCTGATGTTAACTTCTGGTGTTGCCTCCCCTGAATGTGAAGGTTCTTTAAGCGCCTCTGTGGCTTGCTTGCCAGGGCTGATTCCAGCATGCCCTATGCACACCATGTTGCATATGCGCGCTGCAGGCTGTCTTACTTTCCAGTTTCAGCTCCTTCAAACTTGTATCTTTTTCTCTCCCATTCTACACAATAATGCTGTGTATTTGATTCCACTGTGTATTTTACTGTTGATCTACAGGTTGCCAAGCCAACGCCCTGGAAGGCTGTGTACTCGGAGACTGTTGAAAACTAACCATCATAACTACAGCTGTTAGCTGCCCTGCATTGCGGTGGTGAAGCTACTTGGATGACCACATCTCCATGCAAGGCTGCTGTTGCTGGGAAAGTAACTATGGGTATTGAGATCGTTTGTAAATTCCGACATATTGTTCAACCAATCTAGTACATGACTTGCATACTCACTCCACTAGGAGATACTCGTGTTTAAGTCCTATAGTCTGATCTTAGTTCCATGCAATCAGTTTATGCCCTCGTTGTAATCAATGTTGATGAACTGCCTGGTTTCCAAAGCATTTTGCCTGTGTTTGACATTTCCTTTGTTTTGCTGGATCAGCTGAAGTCATGGTGATTAAACTCAGTTTAGTCCAATAATACTGTGCAAGATAAAGTGACTTGCATTGAGGACCATTGCATGCATTCACGTATTACGCACGCAGGCGTAAATATTAATACTGTTGTTGTTATGGACTCGCATGAGCTGATTGTTTAGTAACCGGTGGTGTTAGTTGACAGTATAGCATAACTTTCAGTTCCTTGGTCCTTTCACTGTTGTTGCAAGTAAATCCTACTGAAATCCATGAATAGCAGTTCAGAGGTACTCTAGCGATCACAACAAATAGTACATTGCTTTGTATATTACCAACGTATATGGCCGATTGGTTTGCAGGCCTGCCTGCGAATCATGAGGTCCCGAGTTCAAGACCCGCGCTGGTAGCAGGGAGCGTGTAAAAAGACTTTTTACGCGTGTTGAACTGCGCCGACACCCACGGTCAACTGGGTACTCACAGCTCGGAGTGAGAATAACAAGGATGCAGTTTACAGGGTTATGGGCCGTTACACGCCCGATTGGTTGAGAGACTAACCTCCTCTCCCCTGACTCACTTGTGAGGTCTGCATTCGCCACTAAGGTTAACAGGCATAGTGGTGGCCTGCGGATGCGAAGGCTAGTTTGTGTGTTTCTGAACATTCAAGCGATGCCGACGCGGATCCCGCGAATTATTATATTTGTATATTATGTTCAGTATGTCTGATAGCATTTGCTCAAGCAAATGATACCATAGTGACATTAGTCAATCATCCAAAATAGTCCTGCTGGCCCGGCTTTGAAACCCCATTTTGTAAAAATTGAGGCGCAAAAACACTTCATATTTTTGCCCCTAAATGTGGGAAGGAATAATTGCGTGGGTGACCCAATGGTGTTGTTGTATTCTTTTACTTCAATTCGCTCAGGGCATAGGCAATACTGCCTTCTCACCGGAGAGAGGATTCTCCGATTCCTACCAAAAAAAAGAAATCTGCGATATGAATATGCATGAGAAAGATATGAGAAAAATGAATAATGATTATGTCGGATTTCGATAGTTTAGTTGTGATGCGAGAATTCCCTGACGATTACAGATAAAGCGTTTCTGGAGGCAAATGTCCAGAAAGGATGCGGGAACAAAATACAGCGTTCCTGAAGGCAATGGTGCACATGAATAGAGCATAAGGCAATGGTGCAGAAAAGAGGTGAGAACTTACAAACAAGGCAATCGTGCAGAAAAAGAGGGAACTGAAGAACTAGCGGTTCTAGAGGCTAAGACACAAAGAGGTCGGGACAAGCGACTCAATACAGTGTCAGATGGTGCTCTTGAATTCATCCTTTTGTGATATACATCTAACTTCAGCCGGCAGCTTATTCCAGGGAATGGCACCTTGGAAACGGATGGAGGACCTACCAGCAGGACCCGGAAAGAAGGGGACACGTAAGAGCCATGTCACCTGTCCGCGAGTGGCCCTTCGGTCATGATCTTCTTGAGAAAGTGCGGTTGGGGTGAAAAAAGACGAAAACAAGTGACTTGACAGAGAGTGCAGGCAACGGAATACAAACATGAGGAGCTTTCGCTGAAAAAATCTCTCAATGGTGGACAATGAGAGTCTCTTTCGTAGCGGCTGAGTCGCGATCGGGTTCTGCAGTCGTAGGATTGCTCGAACCACGGACTTCGCCGATCTTTCGAGCCGAGTGAGACCAGCGGCAGACAGCGAGGGGAAGAAGGCGTTTGCGGCGTAGCACATCTTGGCTTGTATCATGGCAACATACCATATCCGGCGGGCCGTGATGCTAAGTGCATCCCCATGCAGGGGTACCACAAGGTAGCATCCTTGGACCAACGTTATTCCTCCTGTACGTAAATGACTGCGAGGACACCTTGCCTGCTGGTGCTGAGCTTGCCACGTATGCAGATGACACGACACTGTATCAGTGCATCTCTGCCACCGCCAGCATATCCGACTCTGCAGCACAACTCCAGGAAGCAGAGGACGCCGTCTCCCACTGGGGTTCCAAGTGGAAGGTCACCTTCGAGCCATCCAAATCTCAGGCCCTCATCATCGACCACCGCAAGCCTCCCCCAGCGTTCCCACCAGTGCTCTTCAATGGAGTGACTGTTCCTGAAGAGAAGGAAATTAAACTTCTGGGCATAGCATTCGACTCGCAACTGTCCTACGCAGCACACCTCCGGGCCGTGGCCTCAAAGGCTGCCCAACGCCTACACTTCCTGAGAAAGGTTGCGCCCCTGTTGGACTCCAGCGGCCGCACGGCAGTCTACAAAGGCTTCGTGCGGCCAACAATGGAATATTGCTGCCTGGTGTGGATGGGGTCAGGTACATCCAGACTGGACAAAATCCAGCACAAGGCACTGAAGGTGATTGGCCCAGGCGCCTGGCTCCCCAGCCTGAAACACCGCCGACTGGTTGCTGCGCTTTCGTTCACGTTCAAGCTGTCTTACCTTCCAACAACAAGCCCCCCGAAGCCCATCCTCCCACCTCCAGCCAATCCCCGCCCAGTGGGTGGTCGATCCACTAGGTTAGCCACGGAGACTGCCCACTGCCACCCGCTCCAGCTCAAGTCGACGCTGCCCGTGCGCATTCGTAGCAGCCTCCAGGGTTCCTACCCAGACTGCATTATTCCCTTGTGGAACAGCCTACCAGCGACCATTCTACCAGCACGGCCGCAACCCAGCCAGCTCCAATCATTCAAAGAAAAATGCAACAAGTATCTGCTGCACCTGAACTGGCAAGCAGCCACCGACGCCCTATGAAACGGTTTAGACCAGTGCCTCACTAGCATCCTCCCCCCCCCCCCCTTACCACAATGTGACGTTATCTTTCACTCTGCTTCTCTCACGACCATCTACCCATTGTCCTTGTTTCTCACTATTATTCATTTCCCCTCTTCCTCCTCTCTACATGGTTTTACTGCATCATGGCGCGCTTTGTCTGCGTAGACGCCGAGACCTTTGAGGTCGGCAGAGCAGCCTGGCCCCGCCACCACTTCTCGCACCTATTCGGGAATATAGTGGACTTTCGTATTAAAAAAAAAAAAAAAAATGTCGCCATAGACGACTTACGGCCTTCGCTGTCTGGCTAGCAAGGTGTTGGATGTGGAACCGCCAGCTCAGGTCGTCGTCGAAAATGACACCAAGGTATTTTGCGGATGACACTGTGGCAAGCTCACCTTCATTGCAGCGGACGCGATCGACTGCATCTTGTCACACTCATCACAATCACATGCACCATACTGCTTGGTAAACAATTTGAGCGTGATAACACTTTCCTTCAGTGCACACAACGCTGGCTTATGCAAGTGTATGAAGATTGCTTCTAAAACGTTTAGCTGCATTATACGAGTATGACTTGCAAGACACAACATCGTGAAAGAAGAATCTGAGTACGACTGACAACAATCAGGGTGACCTTCCACATGCCCGTAAACTGCCGTCTTCTTGACATCCAACTCCAGGTCACAATCACATTCGACGTCACCAGCTCATCACCATCCGCGCCATCTTAGTGGTACTCGTGAGGTCTATATCTGGCCGAAACAGCTTGCTGTAGAGCATTCGGTGTAGGAGACACCAAAATAGTTATCTTCCTAAACTGGCACCCTAGAACTGGAACCCTAGAAGGTGGCGGGTGTGATGGACGATGCGAGCTCCGATGCAGATCCTGATGGGCATACATCAAGCATGAACTATTTCAGATACTGGAAGAATCACCTCGTGTCCTCTGATGGAAAGGTTCCAGATCACCACATACAGGTGTCTGGAATGCCCTCCCTGCGAATTGAGGGTGTTAGATCATTTTCTACGGAACCTTTGCACGCTCTATTCAAAATGACGACGAGTTTGCTGCATCCCTAAAACTAGTTATCTCCTTCTTTTTGAAAATGTCTATAGCGAAAAATATTAGGTTTGATACGACACATTTGTCGCTTTTGGTCATGTCTTGCTGTGCTTTAGTACTGGTTCACGTTAGGCATCGGCGGATTATGCTCGCGAAATCATGGAATTATGCTTCCATGGATTCTCGCATTATGCTCGCAAAATCTTCATTATTATGCTTTGGCACGTGGGGATACATATTCACTTTGTTGTCCTTATGGAGCCTCAAACGTTCGGAAAATTGTGCTTTTTTCGTACTTGCAAGTGGCCATACGTACAACAAAATACATGAGTATCCCCATACAATCGTGTCTATTCATGCTAGAGATCAACATGGAAAAGAGAAAACAATACTTCTTATACAAACACACTACATGTCACGCTTCTTGAGTTTTCTCGCACTTGCACCTTTGCTATGTGTATAGGTCACGCATTTTCGCTGTTTACTTTAGCTATCTTCTTCTTTGCGCTGTTTTTACCACCTCCTTACTGTACTTAATCCACTGTTCCTGTCCCTTTTCCCTTGCCTGTATTTCACCTGATGAGAAGGCTTGAAAGTATACTTGTGAAAACAAAACTTTCAAGATTTTCGTAATGAGCCTCAAGAGTTTCCATCTTTCTGAGTATTATCGCATTTTTGTCTCAGAGGAAACTGTTCAATACTTCTTAAGATGGCAATGAACAGAATCAGCTGAAGCGACATGTTACGAAGGTTTTATTGAGATGTGAAGTAGTGATAGACCAAGAAATAACTGTGATGGAAATGTAATGTGAAAAACAATAATAGGAACGATGAAAAATATAAACATGCATCGAACTAGCTTTCTCACAACGTTCATCAGGAAGCATTGTTGTACTAATTAGCAAATTGCAACACAGATTACTATAAAGGACCAATAGTGATATTATAAAACCTAAACAATGCTAAGAAGGTATCACAAGGTATTCTTGAACGATACCATGTGCGTGAAAGGTAACAATCGAACATTCCAAGGGGACAAAATTCAAGTATGAAACAACACTAATGACAAAATTCTGGCCCAACACGGCCAGACAAACACAACATTCTACTTGGTGTCTGCAGCATCAGCATTAGCAACAGCCGTGACGGTAGTCGATGGTGACTTGACAGCAAAGCCGACACCACAGTCCATCAATACCGGTATCACAGGTCGTGGCAAATTCAAGAAGGCTCTGCCTCCTCAACAAATGCCAGGCATACGCCCCCTGCCGGATCCACCACCTTCTGACCAAACCTTACCATCGTCAATATCGGAGCAGACTACAACAACAACTTCTCAAAGACCAAGACGTTCAACAGCTAATTACAGTATGAACTATGATACCGGCAAACAACAACGACAAAGGAGGAGACCCAGCGTGACGGCAACAGTGGATGTGACCGCCAACGATGAGGACGACGACGGAAACGGCACTGACGGAGGAGATTCTAGCAGTAAGTTGAGTGGGGGAGAGAGCGTGGGTTCGGGAGAATGTGAGAGTGAGTGTGGGCGTGTGTTTCGACCTCGTAAGTCTTCTGTGTATAAATC